TTCATCACCACTATTTATAATTAAAAGTTGTTTACCAGTATTTGTTTGTGTGTGAGGATGCCTGGCGTGTGGCCAAGTGAGTAGATACCAGGGCCACCACACTCTGACTGCGTCAAAGTGTGAGGCGAGTTGCCAAGTCAACCTACCATGGGTCCACGGGTACAAGTTGCTTACTCGCGTTCACCGCCTGGAACCACACTTCATAATACATTACATAATGCGTTATTTAGTTCGCCACGCTAATCTTCCCATTTTGTTGTCGTATATTGTTTAAAAGTACATGTTCTCATTACTTTTCTGCCAAGAAATGCATTACTCTTTTGTACTGACATTTTATTAATTAATTTTTCCAAAACCTCGAAATACTAATTGCATGTTTATGTATTAATGTGTAGACATTGTTGGTGAATGTGTCCTCGTAGTTTTTAACCTGGTAGTGTTAATAGCCGGGCAGAGGTCTGGGAGCTGCGCTGCTTAGAGCCAGAATGGGCTTTTTTTTTCTCTGGGGTAAAATTGCTTGGAACGGAATATCTAGAGAGGTAATGAAAATTATGATGCATTTTAAGGTGCTGTTTCCTCGATATTTTATGACAGAGGAAGCAGGGAAGTGAAGTACTGGAATCTGTTATGGTACGAAAATATTACAAATCTGTGCATTCTGTGAATCCTACACAGTTCCGGAAAAGGGAAGCGTAATTTGGGAATTATGTATTTTTACACACTGAATATGCAATAATAACAGAAGTACCACGTTGGAAAACCCGCTTCTTGTCCGACCAGGGAAGCTAATAAAGCAACGTTGGGTTTGGTTAGTACTTGTATAGGTGACCGACCGCTGGTTCTAAGATGCGATGCTGCTGGCGTAGGGACACAAGTGGAAACATTTCAGTCTCATGTTTTTGTAAGCTGTTCTTGGTCAAATTGACTACATACAAGTTAATTAAAACGATTTCACAAGTATACGCTCTGATTTCAATAACTTGTCACCACTAAAATAACAACCTAGCTAACTTATAATTAGTTATAATGCTCAGCAATTAAATAATTGGTTATTAAATTTCTGAATAATCCCGAAAAAGCTCTGGTTCTGTAAACACAAGCAAGACATATCCTCTTAGGATGACAGTGGGTCTCAGAGGCACAAGTGCCCGATAGTGGGTGTGAATACAGCACTACAAGGGGGCAGCGTGGCCGGTACTGCCTTCACTTCCTCAAATTGTAAACTTAGGTACCCATTTATAGCTAGGTGAACTGGGATGCTCGGTAATCGAACCACCAACACCTGGAAAAGGAGGCGAGCACTGTATCCACTCAACCACCGCACTCTCAGAAAATGAGTCCCAATTCTTGTGTTGTAAGTTACAAGACTTATGACTAGTGTAATACTCTTAGGGAATGACAGCCCCAATTCTCGTGTCATAAGTTGCAAGACTTACGACTAGTGTAATTACTAATCTAGTATATGCCCTTAAAGCCCTAGCTGCTGAACACAGTAACATCGAATGTTAATTCAAAGCATTTTTTTTAATTCACTAATCTCATGTTACTTGTTTATGTTAGAGAGCCACTACTTGGTGCCATAACTTATCGCCCTCCTTATCAACTTTTCTTTAGCCTTATCTCTTATATTACCAAAGTGTAGGTTAACCAGATGACACAAGTGTACACAAGCTTATACAGTTGAGGTGGGGAGAAGAGAGTGGTGTGCTCTGAAGATGCAAGAAGGTGTAGGGGGAAGGTAAAGTTCGGAAATGGGAAATAAAATGGGAGACTTGATAGCAGGTAGGCTATGCACCTACTACAGTTCAAAAGATATCGAATCGGCAGTTCAAAAGATATCGAAGGGCACAGGGGTGGAGGAGACTGCAGTGGGAGCGGGTAAACAAAGTGAAAGATTACAGGGAAATAGTGTTAGGAATGACGACAAAAGTAAAGCAGACAGGGAGTTTAAACCTAAACACGGTAAAGGGAGGACTCAGAACACGACTAACTTAAATGTCTACTACGCGAACAGTAGAAGTATGAGAAACAAAATGGATGATATAAGGGCCTTAGTATGTACCGAAAAAATCGACATAATAGCATTCACTGAAACATGGATCAACCTAGACTCACGTGAGTTGCCGATCGAATACCAAATTGCGGGTTACAATTGTTCCATACCGATAGGCAGACCAGGAAAGGAGGCGGAGTAGCAATCTATGTCAGAGATAATCTGAAGTGTGAAATAAATAAGGAAATAAAAACTGACCGGAATACAGAAACAATTTGGATAGAATTAATCGACGGTAGGGAAAAATTAATCACAGAAGTAACATATAGACCTCCCAATCTTGATAGAATCAATGAGAGACTTATCTGGGATGAAATGCACAGGACTTCCATACACAACAAAGTCTGTATAGTAGGCGACTTTAACCTTGGCCAAATAGATTGGACTGACCTTACGGGTAACCCAGAATCAGAAGATTTTCTCGAAACGATCCAGGACTGTTTCCTAAGTCAACATATAACCGAACCCACCCAGGGTAGTAATATACTCGATTTAGTTCTGTCGAACAGAGAAAACCTCACTAGCAATGTCGAGGTAGGGAACAAACTTGCAAACAGCGATCACAAAGAAATTAGATTCCAGTTAGGTTTTCAGGGCAGACGCAAGGAAAATTCCACTAAAGTACCAGATTTCAGAAGGGCAAACTTTGACAGTTTAAAGAGGCAGCTGAGTGAAGGGGTGTCACGCTTGGGCGTGAACCTGACAGATGACACCGACCTGATAACGAGATCTGAGATAGCCGAGTTCCACGACAATTTAAATAATGAGTTACTTAATGCACAAAGGCAGAACATACCATACAAAAAACTCAGATCAGACAACAATGACCCTAAAAGGATAAATAATTATTTAAAGAACATCATTGGCCAAAGGAAGGCTATAGGTAGAAGGATAAATCATGGCGAAATTTACCTCCAGGATTATTATAAGGTATTGGCGAGTAGGGTTAAAACCGAGATAAGGAAAGACAAGAGGAATAATGAGGTAAGGATAGCAAGGGAGGCAAAGACAAACCCCAAAGCATTCTACCAAATGTATCAAACTAAAACACGAGAAAAGATTGGACCAATACGGTCAGATACCGGCGAGCTCACTGACAACGACAGAGAAATGAGCAATAATTTGAATAGATATTTTTCAACAGTTTTCACCACCGAAAATGTAAACATGATACCCGAGGCACCGACTCTATTCAGAGATAGTGAAGAAAACAAATTAAGCGAGATAGTAGTGACTAGAAGCGATGTTAGTAAGCAAATAGATAAACTAAAGCCTAATAAATCACCTGGTCCCGATGAGATATTTGCCAGAGTATTAAAGGAATGTAAGGAAGAGCTTAGTATGCCCTTAGCAAAGTTGTTTAACATGTCCTTAAAAACAGGTGTAGTACCAAAATCCTGGAGGATAGCGAATGTAATACCGATTTTCAAGAAGGGGAATAGATCACTATCCTCTAACTACCGCCCAATCAGCCTAACATCAATAGTAGGCAAATTACTTGAATCAATCATTTCAAACTCTATTCGAAACCACCTGGAGAAGCACAAGTTGATCAATGATTCCCAACGGCTTCACAAGCGGGCATTCATGTCTAACTAATCTATTAACATTCTTTTCATCAGTTTTCGAATCGGTGGACAAAGGGCACAATTATGATGTGGTATATCTCGACTTTAGCAAAGCCTTCGACAGAGTCCCCACGAAAGACTAATTAGAAAGGTAGAAGCACATGGTGTCAAAGGTAATATCCTTAAATGGATTAGGGCATGGTTACAGGACAGGAAACAGTGAGTGAGCATTAACTGCACTAAGTCCCATTGGAGCAACGTCGCTAGTGGAGTTCCCCAGGGCTCAGTACTTGGACCATTATTATTTATTATATACATAAACGACATAGATATTGGCATAGACAGCAACATAAGTAAATTTGCTGATGACACTAAAATAGGACGTGTTATTAAATCTGGTGAGGACTCTGCAAAACTACAGGAAGATCTAAACAAATTCTTCAAATGGTCTGAAAAATGGCAGATGAAATTCAACGTGGACAAATGTAAAGTGCTCAGTATAGGAGATGTAAACAGGGAAACCAGATACCAGATGAACAACGATGCCATAGAGAAATCCGACTGCGAGAGAGATTTAGGAGTAATGATAAGTAGGAATCTTAAGCCAAGTAAACAATGTGTTTTGCTCGTAACAAGGCTTTTAAAGTACTTGGGTTCATACAAAGGAGTGTTAGTTACAAGACTAGCGAGGTCATCCTAAAACTGTATCTTGTGCTTGTGTGACCACACCTGGATTACGCATTTCAGTTCTGGTCACTGTATTACAGAATGGATATAGAATCCTTGGAAAGAATTCAGAGGAGAATGACAAGACTAATCCCAGGCATTAGGAACCTTGAGTATAGAGACAGGTTAAAGCATCTTAATTTGCACTCCCTCGAGAGACGTAGAGCGAGGGGCGACCTGATAGAGGTGTATAAATGGAAGTCAGGGCTAAACAAAGGGGACATTACAAAGGTGCTCAAACTATCCAACCAGGAGCGAACTCGTAACAATGGTTTTAAATTAGACAAATTTAGATTTAGGCCCGAAATAGGAAAACACTGGTTTGGAAACAGAGTAGTGGATGAATGGAACAAGTTACCAAATATCATCATCAACTCGAATACGCTGAATAGCTTCAAACATAGGTTGGATGCTTATATGAGCAATAAGGGTTGGGTGTAAACGGGACTGCCCAGTATGGGCCAATAGGCCCGCTGCAGTTTCCTCCATTCTTTATGTTCTTATGTACAGTCTACAGCCTGTATACGGATACGAGTATATACACAAAATAATCTCGGCTCCGTTGATATTTTTGTTGATAATAAATTTATATAGTTGTTTGTGTTGTTGTTTTTTTTAGAAGTAAAAGTATATAAATATTTGTTGTGTTACAGAGGATGCAGAAAGTGCGGAGGCAAAACTGGTGATGCGCAAACTAAATAGCGTGTTGTACCGCGGGGTGGAGCGCTACCTCACCTACGACGCCTTCCTTGTGCCCCGCAACACTCTCCACAGGTGAGTCTCAGCAAACATTACCATATGAAAACCTCACTTCTCATACTAAATAGTGTCGTGTGCCATGGTTCCCTCTCCCAACAGTGTGCTGTTTGAATCTCACTTCTCTTACCCAGTACTTCGTTGGTTATCTCATCTTCCTCACCCAGCAGTATTGGGTGCTACGATAGCGTGCAGTCTACAAGATGTGTGTTTAGGTTAGGTTTGACTAAATATATCTTTGTAGACCGCTCGCTATAGTAGTACCCAGTATTGTGTGTGTCACTTTCCCCACCTTTTATTGTAGTGTCTCACCCAACAAACATTGTGTCTCACTTCCCTTACCTTAGTGTCTGCTTTCTCACCCAACACTGTTGCGTTTTACTTTTATGTCGTGTGCCTCATTTCCCTCACCTTATACCGCTGTCTCATCTTTCTCAATCATCACTGTTGTGTCTCACCTCTCTTATACTCAACAATATGTTTTGCTTCTCCCCGCCTTTACCCAACAAGACGTGTGTGTGTGTATCAACGTCCTCACCTAAGACTATTGTTTCTTTGGATACACCCCATTTCGTCACTAACACGGTTCGTCACCACTATCAAATTCGTTTCGTCACCACTAAGACCGTTAGTCGCTGGTATTAGAGTGATAAATTGTAAGTTATTATTTTACACGAATAGAAATTACACAAGTATGGAGACGACTCGAGAATTATTATTATTATTATACATGAATATAAATCTAATAAAGAAAACAATTATAACAAATTAGAAATTACACATGTGTACAAACGGGGTATGCCCATTTCGTCACCAACCCGTTTCGTTACCGCGTTCTCTCCCATCAATATATACACGAAAATAACTGTTACCTGGGACAGAAAATAATAAAAAAACACTAAGAAACTTTGCTAAAGACGAAAATATAAAATAAAAACATTGTTAATACGCCTGCAATCATTTCACTTAAACAATAATCATTATATACACGAAAATAACTGTTGCTTGGGATAGAAAAAAAAACCACTAAGACAATTTATTAAAAACGAAAACAACAAACAAAAACATTGTTAATGCGCTTGCAATCATCTCACTTAAACAATATGTGAAAGACTAAAATTTATGCTTGCAAGCTTGGCAGAACACAATGAGAATTTTGTAGGTAATTGGAAGTGGTGATATTTTTTTCTTCATATTCGTCCCACAGCTACCAGAGACGGAGTTGTTTGTCATGATTTGCTTTTCTTGTGCTCGATTTTAGCTTGTGCTCAGCAACATTGAGGCTTCTCTGTGAAGCAGAGGGACAAGGAGGTATGGGCGAGATTGTTTTTTGCTGCTCGGGGGTTTACGCGCTGTGCCAAATCACCTTAATTTTTTTCTGTATTTTGTTTATATAGCATTATTTAATCTTGTTTTATTAAATAATTAATATTCATGTATAATAACAACAATTCTTCATATGTTCTGTATTTTGTTTATACTGTACTAATGTTTAATCATTTTCTTAAAAAAATAATATTCATGTCTAATGACAATACAACAATTCTTCATTTGTTCCATATTTTGTTTATTTACCAATGATTTTAATCGTTTTCTTTATTACGGTAATAATTAATATTCATGTATAATAATAACACAATACGTCTGTATACATGTGTAATTTCTATTCGTGTAAAATAATAACTTACAATTTGTTACTAATACCATCGACTGTTAGTGGTGACGAAAGGGATTTGATATTGATGAAATGGGGTTTTGGTGACGAACCGGGTTGGTGACAAACCGGATTGGTGACGAAATGGGGTGTATCCATACAACTTACCAAAGAATATTGCTATTATTTTACATGAATATTAATTATTTAATAAAGAAAACGATTAAAACATTGGTAAATAAACAAAATACAAAACAAATGAAGGTAATTTCTTCTTCACCACCTTGGTTGATTTGCAATTACTAGTGCTGAGCACAAACTAAAATCGTGCACTAGATAAGCAAATCATGACAAACAAGTTCGTCCCTGGAAGCTGTGGGATGAATATAAAGAAAAAATATCACCTCTAATTTCCTAAAAAAAAAAAAATCAGTCTTCTTCCAAGCTTACATGAGTACTGTATTAAAAAAAAATATTTTATTTAAATTTTAGTCTTTCACTTATTGTTTAAGTGAGAGGATTGCAGGCGAATTGAAAATGTTTTTATTTTTGTTTAGTGTGAGAGGTTGGAGTCATAGACCACGTTCTTTATAGACTTTATTCTAACAGCGTCAGCTGGAGACTGGCAACCGGGCGCTGCCAAAGACAAGCCCCCATCTCAACATGGGAAAACATATCGTACGATGGTACAATCTTACATCTCCCCCCCAAGTTAAAAGGAAATGACAATGCACATTTGAACTAACAAAAGGAAAACAATGCATTCATAAAAACAACAATAATGCAGGAAAAACGAGTCAAACAAAGGAAAAAAACAAAAAAGAAAAAAAACCTCTAAACTGATTTTACATCACATACACTACACCACGTAGTCCGTCAACCAGCCCGGAGGCCTACGGCCTCTCCTGGGCCTGGCCGCGCTCGACTGGGGAGGGGCCGTGGGTGCGGAGGAGGGCGCGGGTATGGAGGGCACAGCAGAAGGGGGGCCAGGAGGCACAGCTTGGTGCACCACCGGAGTAGTAGGCACAGGTGTGGAGCCGTTTCGCAGGTGGCGTCTGTTGCGGATGGACACCCTGCCACTGCCACCCAACCTGACGGCATACTGCCTGTGAGGGCGGGCTTCCACCACTATGCCTGTCCTGTCCCAGAGCCTGGTAGCTGCGTCCTGCACACGCACCTGCGTGCCCACGACTAGGGGAGCCAGCTGGCGGGATACCTCCCTCCGCGACAGGACCCCATCCTGTGTTTCGGCCAAGCGCACCTCCCTCATACGAAGTGCCCGCCGCCAGTGCTGGTCCACATTATAGTGCTGTCTGGCCACGGGAACGCCGTCACGGAGCTGGCGGCCGGTGGCAAGTTGGGCGGGCGACTTGTTCACCCCCCGCAGAGGCGTGTTCAGGTACTGGAGGAGGGCCTGGGATGTCCTATCGCAGTCCAGGCTACCCCCGGGCCCAGTGTTATCCCTGAGGAGCCTCTTGGCAGCCTTGACCCCAGCCTCTGCCCTGCCATTGGACTGGGGGAAGTGGGCCGACGAGAGGCGCACCTCGACCCCCCATGACTTGAGGAAATCTGTCATCTCAAGGCTGGCAAGGTTGGTACCTCCATCTGTGGAGATCTGCTCAGGTACCCCCCACCTCGTGAAGTAGGCCCGCAGACTGGCGATGATTTTTCCAGAGGTGGCCTCGTTGGGGAAGTGGGCGATCTCCAGCCAACCTGTCAGTCGGTCAGCATATGCTAGGTACGTGCGGCCCTGCAGGTGGAACAAATCGGCCACCACTTGTTGAAAGGGATAGTCTGGCGCTGGGGTCAGAACCAACGACTCCGGAGGCTGGGAAGGGGCGTGGGTCTCGCAAGCAGCACACCGGGACCGATGATACTGCAGGTCACCCTCCATGCCAGGCCAATAGACAGACTGCCTGGCCCGCCTGAGCATTGAGTCGAGGCCCTGGTGCCCCACATGCAGGTTAATGGCGACCCGGTGGCGGAGGGAGTCGGGGATGACAAGGCGCACGCAGCCCTGGTCAAAGGTGTAGGTGACCAAACCCCTGACCACAGCCAACCTGTCCCTCACCGAGAAGTACGGGCGCAGACAGGCCACCTCCTGTGACTTGTGGGGGTGCCAGTCGCCCGCCAGCACCCTCGACACTAGAATCTGGTACACTGGGTCGTCCGCCGCCGCTTTGCATACTGTGTCTTCGTCCATAGTGATGCACCCATCCTGATCCAGTGCTGCGATTGTGACTGCACACACTGCAGCGCACAGGTCCTCCTCTTGGTCCATGTCCTCCGCATCAGGCGCCGCCCTGAGGGAGGGGAAGCGGGATAGGGCGTCAGCTGCACAGTTCCGCTTCCCTGGCAAGTATTTGACCGTGAATCGGTACTGCAGGGTCTTCTCCTTGAGCCTGAACTGGCGAGGATTCGCCACATCCGTGAAGGCTCTGTCCCCTAGCAAGCCAACTAAGGGGCGGTGGTCCGTCACCAGAATGAGGTTCGGGCAGCCAAGGAGGAACAGCCTGGCCTTGCGCAGGCACCACACCACAGCCAGGGCCTCCCCTTCTACTGCAGCATAACCGGCCTCGGCCGTGCTCAGATGTCGGCTACCACACAGAGCCAACCGCCACCCTCCTCTGCAGCAGAAGGGCGTCTCTGGAGAGGCACAGGCACAGTATTGTTGCAGGACGACAAAGCCGATGCCCTCCCTGCTCCAATCAGTGACAGCTGCCATAGGCCTGGATTTGTCGTAGTACACCAAGCCGTCTCTGGCCAACTGACAGATGGTGTCCTGGGCCTGGCGAAACTTGAGCCGCAGCTGGTCGTCCCAATACACCTGCTTGCTCACTGGCTTCTTGAGGAGCTCACGGAAGGGCTCCATCACAGGTGCAGTGGCAAGGAAGGGAGCCAACTGATTAACCAGGCCATGCCAGGACTTGATGTCAGTGATTGATGGCTGATCCGGCATGGGGAAGTCCTTGATGGCTGACAGACGTTGGGCAGTGGGCTGGTACAGGTCCCACCCCAGGAGGAAACCCACAAACTCAGCTTCTCTCCTGCAGAACAAGAACTTTTCTGGTTTCAGCGTGATACCTGTGCGAGCGCAGGTCTCCAGAAAATCGTAAGTGTGCCAGAACGCCCCCTTCACACTGGAGTCATAGAGGAGAGTGTCATCCACGCACTTGTACTTGCGGGGCACATCCTGAATAGCGTCGTCAAACCTCTTGGTGTAAGCATCTGACGCTGAGCAATGTCCCATGGGCGTCCTGCAGTATCGAAAACGTCCCCACGGCGTGATGAATGTGGTCAGGCGTCTACTCTCCTCCTCCAACTCCACTTGATGAAATCCCCAAAAGGCGTCGGCGACGGTTTTGAACGAGTGCACTGGCACCCCAGACACCATGTCAAATGGTGCAGGTGTGTGGTGCGTCTCCCTCAGACAGCTTGCATTGAGGCGTTGGAAGTCCACAGTGCGCCTGGGCTGACCGTTTTTCTTGACCACCACGACCATCCTGGCGCACCACTCCGTAGCCTCACCAGCAGGCACTGGCTGGATGACGCCTCTCCTGACGTCCTCCTCCAACTGGGCCTTCACCTCCGCTTCCCAGTGTTTCGGAACGGGAGCGGGTAGGGGGTCGTGCCGGGCGTCAGGTGGATACGGTGAGGGGGACCAGTCATGACTGGCAGTGGGGACCTGCTGGTGTTGAATGCGGTAGACGAAAAGTGCGTGAGTAGCCATGCCTCCAGCCTGGCCACATTCTCCTCCAAAGGAGGCAAGGGTATCTCAACTGGCCTCGGCGGGAAACGGCTGCTCTCAGGTAAACGGTTCGGAGGTAGATCGTCGGCAGTGTGCCGCTCCCCTCCATCGCCCACGGCAGCCACAGCACGTCTATGGAGCGGGAAGTCGACAGGCACCAAGTTGAGGCACTTGCAGGCCTCCAATGACAGATAGAGGGCCTTGGCTGTCTGCACGAAGTAGACCTCCCTGGAGCCATTACGGGCCCGAAGTTGCCCCGGACACAAACCGATGTCCCGGAGCAGGGATGCGCCTGCCACACACACCATAGCACCCGTGTCGGCTACAGCCAGCACAGGGGTGGCGGGGGAATTGCCCCCGGCCTGGGACACGAACACTTGTAACCTGGGGTGGCGGGATAGCTGGGCTGTTGCCACTGTAACAGCGCCTGACACATCCACAGGAGCACTTAGGGCTGACTTACTCCTACAACACCTTTTGAAGTGACCAACCTTACAGCAATTGCGACATGTAGCCCCACTTGCAGGGCAGTTACTTTTACCAGAGGCATGTGACACGCCGCAGTTACCACAGTGCACGCGACTGGGGTGTCGAGGTCGGGCGGCAGCTACCTCAGACTCACCGGTGACGTCATCACCAACCGCCACTGCCTCCGCGGCTGTTCCCACCACTGCCTGGCCAGACGTACGACACAATACACCAGCATTTCTCACTGCTGCCTCAAATAACATGCATTTGTTTCTAAGCACTTCAACACTATTATAACTAGAGTACCCCTGGAAAATTTCCCTTTTCAACACTGGGTTACTCAGGCCCACCATAACTTTACGTAATAGCATGTACTCAGAGAGGTCGTTATCACAGGTGGGACATTTAAATTCACACTCCACTGCCTCTGAGAAGCATCGTTGAAAATACCTTTTCATGGGCTCCTCTTCACCTTGTTTGCTGTTGAAAAACTCGTTCCATTTCACAGCTTGGTTTGAAGATTGAAGAACCATTCCACTGATGGCATCCAGGGCTTCTTTGGGCGAGAGCTGCTCCCACTGACTGCTGGGGTATCTCGAGTCAATCATCCTTTGGAGTGCGGGGACGCAGTTCAGGCGAATGTGGAGTGTGGCCACCAGTTGTGGCCACCCGTTCAACAGCACCCATGACTCCATGGACCGCCTCCATGTCCTAAACGCAGCTGCTGGCATTTCTGCCTCACACTTCTCTGGAGCGACAGCTGCTGAGGGCTTCATGACCGGCATAGAAGCATGACCACCGCCAGCACCTAGAGACGCCATCTGAGCCATCAATGCACTCATGGCCTGCTGCTGGGCGCGCGTGGTGTTCCCGGCCGGTGTAGAGAAGCCCTGGCGTCCCCTTGAGGGCGTCGAGAATCGTGGACGTGTAGGGGCCATGTCAGCGTTCTTGTCAGGGCTGTAATGGCGTGTCGGGCCCCGACATATCCTACTCACTGTGCGCCATGTGAGAGGTTGGAGTCATAGACCACGTTCTTTATAGACTTTATTCTAACAGCGTCAGCTGGAGACTGGCAACCGGGCGCTGCCAAAGACAAGCCCCCTTCTCAACATGGGAAAACATATCGTACGATGGTACAATCTTACATTTAGTTTTGTCTTTAATAAATTGTTTAAGTGAGATGCTTGCATGAGTAATGACGTTTTTATTTTTTTTTATTTTCGGCTTTAGTAAATTGTCTTAGTGAGATGCTTGCATGATCCATTGTATTGCTATGCCAAAACATAATTTCGTAATGCAATTTTGTAAACTAGGTGTTTCGATTATTTTCTATCCCAAGCAACAGTTATTTTGGCAAATTTAGTGAAATTTTCATGTATATATTGATGTATTAATTATGTAAGAATTTTCTGGAATGTATTGCCCTTGAAATGGTGATGGGAATGCACGCGGTGACGAAATGGGTAAAACGGGTGTCAAAACGGGTAAAACGGGTGACGAAAGGGGTAAAAAATGTGGTGACGAAATGGACACACCCCGTTTCTTTCATCTGACGTTTCACCTCCCTCACCCAACACTGCATTACAGTGTTTGTCATACTGCCTTCTTGTGTAATAAATGCCTACTATACAATGTTCTGTATCTACACAGCATTAACAGGCCATCTGACCTCTGGGACCCACAGCACTTTCATAAATGACTATTTTTAACCCCTAGGTGTGTATTAAAGCACATGAAATAAGATGAAAAAAAAATACCTTGTTGTTTAGTATCAAGAAACTTTAATAAGTCTAGTTTCTGCTCTAGTTCATATATCTCGGTATTTGTCCATATGTTTTGTGCTTCATATGGTAAAACACTACTCAGATATATGGAGTACATACTGTAGTGTGATTTCTGAATAACGTGAAATCTTTACTGCAGGGTTAACTGAAAAAGTTTCTTTATTTTGGATTAAATTGTTTTCGAAGATAAAGGGTTATTGAGATAGTGATAATATTGCTCTACAACATTAGCTGATATAAAGTATCGACTTTTCAGGGCAGCCCATGATGTCCTCAGACAGTGTTCTGACCGCCCACATGGACTCCACAGTGCTCTGGTCGAGCTCTACCTCAGTGACGGACACTCTTCCAAACGGTGAGATAAATTTATGGATAATATGGGAATTCTTTTTCTTTTATCCTCTTCACCACTGATCGGCTCGTTAGCCGCTTGAGCGATCGGTCACGTCTCTGTTACACACTGTTGACAAGTACTGGGCATCAACTGGCTCCTGAATGTACAGTCAGCCAAAGATGCGCCGACCCCACCCTGCATCTCGTGCTCGTAATTTTACCTGGCAATATTTGGTAAAGGAAGGCTGTATGTAAAGGTGATTGTGATTGGTGGATCTATTTTCGGCTGTATCACTGTCAGGATAAATATTAAACAATCCAAAGGTAGAATTATTATAATAATAAGCTATTCATTGTTATTTAAGATCATAAGAAGTTTCCAAATGTTCTTATATTTGCTTAAATAATGAAGAAAATTTGATCTGAGAATCTTGTGGCAGTCCTCGTTCCTCGTTGTAGTTAGTTGCCAATTCATTAATATATTTTCTTCATTATTTAAGCAAATATAAGAACATTTGGAAACTTCTTATGATCTTAAATAACAATGAATAGCTTATTATTATAATAATTCTACCTTTGGATTGTTTAATATTTATCCTGACAGTGATACAGCCAAAAATAGATCCACCAATCACAATCATCTTTACATACAGCCTTCCTTTACCAAGTATTGCCAGGTTAAATTGCAAGCACGAGATCCAGGGTGGGGTCGGTGCATCTTTGGCTGACTGTACCTGAACCTGCTCCAGTGTTGGTCAAATCTGGTCTTGAAAGAGCTCTCACTCGGTGCCGTCACAACACTGTTTCAGAGTGGCTGTAGTCATCCAGATTGTGTATCTATATTGTACCATAATTTTATGGCTGTTGTAAAATGCTTTATACAGTATGTGAGATTTAAAAAAAATTTGATATAAAAATATGCTTGTTATAATCATTATACTGTACACTAAACAGTATGTACTGTATATCTAATGATACCAAGAGTCATAAATAGTCTTCAACCATGACATACTGAACAACAAAGTTAGCATGTGATGACAGTTTGTTCTTTGTTATAGGTTAGCACAAATGGTTGCTGACCCCCGACAAGAGGTGAAGACAGTCATCAAACTGACATTACACCAGGACCATGCATCAGACCCCACCACACTTCACCTCCAATCCAGCTATACCATGGAGCGCCACTGCTTGCAGTGATCATCGTTGTACTATACAGTACCTGCCCATCTTGTTTTATATACCATGAAGGTTATACAATACAATAATATTTCCATAATGCTTCAGGGTAGCATGGATAATTCTTATTAATTATTGAGAAGAGCATAAGTTTTCATCACCAGTCTGCCATAGTGGTGGAGCGATGTGGAGTAAGGAACTGGACAGCAGCTGTTTTTCCAGTTGACTTTCACAAGAGCTTCTCGACCAGAGGCGTGTGATGAAATCACCACATATTACACTCTTACAAATACTGATTGGAATTTGGACTTGTAAAGCATAGCTTTCAGGCCCACCCCTCCTCTGACTGGTGAAGGAGGGCAGCTGCCTTATACAGGTAGTGATGATTTCTCCTTGACCATGACCATCTCTGAATTGCTGTTTTGTCAGTTTACACAATCCAAGAGGCTAAATTCAAATAGTATCAGGTGTGACTAACAAAGATAATTTTAAAAGTTAGTGCAAGTGTGTTAGTGGTTGTGTGTGTGTGTGTGTATAATTGTTAAACATTACAGTATACAATACTGTGCAGTGAATATTACTGCCAAATATCCGAGTGTTAGTAAATTTTTACTGTAATTAGGGATACACAGTAGAATAACTTTCTAATAGTATGACTGGTGCAGTGTGTCCAGTTTTGTTTTACCATGCCTTATATTTAAGTAATTACTGTTTCTTAGTTGTTGATGCAATCATGTTTGAAGGTACAGTACTACATAATTATTTTGAATAAACATATTTGCTGAATGAAAAATGTTAAGAAATTTTTACTATGATTGTATGTGCCCAAAATGTACTGTACTTCGTTCTAAAAGAGGTGGTACACTGGTAACATGTCAAGGGTTGAGCATCGGCCCGGACATACATGGGAAAGGTGTTATCTTGTGTGAACCTACCAAACATCACAGGTTCCCCAGTCCCCGGTTTCCACCTGTAGTAACACTGGATACTTGAGGATAGACCCAGTGCCGGATTTAGACCTGTGGAGGCCCATGGGCAGCCTCTTTGTGGAGGCCCCCCTCATTATAACTACCCAAGAGGGTGGGGTGGCGAGTGAAGCGAGCCTAAACATCTGGGAGTTCCGGGGGGCGCTGTAAGCCCCCCGGGAAAATTTTGAAATTTGAACACTTCTTTGGAGAATTTTGAAGCCATATGCAGTTATATTGAGGAAATTAGAACATTGAGAAATTTTTAATTAACTGTATATTTATTGATAGTGTACAAATTCACACACACACACACACACACACACACACACACACACACACAAAAGTGAGACATGACTGGGTCATTTTTGTGGTTTCAAGTCGACCAGCCCTGATATAGTTACTACCGCACATGTGGAGGCCCCCAGATTGTGGAAGCCCCTGGGCAGCTGCCCACTTTGCCCACTCCTGAATCCGGCCTTGGATAGACCAACTGCCCAAATGGCTAGTAAGCTGATAAGTGGCAAAAATTATAAAAAAATTAATAATTGGAATCTCAATTTTGTAGAGAGTGACTCCATGAAAATCAGATCCTTGTAACTTTAAACTAGTCAAGATTTTTTTTCTTATCCATATCAGGTCCTTCAACAACACTGTACAAAAGTGTAACTAAATTCTGCTGATGTTGCACTTCAATCCAGTTTTAAAGATTATAACCTGATTGTTCCTAAAGATTTGTCTTCCATTGTGTTATGATCAATATTATTATTGATTGTTACAAAATATTTTGTTTAATGAATTTGAGACCAAGGTTGTGCCACATTGTACATAGTTCCCATTATTTTAAGTGTTTGAATGTGAAATCCATACATTTTATGCAACATTGTACAGTACAGAGTATATATAAATTTCATTATCATTTACTTGTTCACTGTACAGATTCATCAGTCATTAGATATCAATAATATTCTGTTTGGTAATTGTAAATTTGATGAAGTGTCTTATACTGTAATTGCTCAAGTAAATATTGTAGTATCATCACTATACATTGTGTGGCATCATTGCTAATACAATGAAGAGTACTTTGTAATACATTTTAAATAAGATTTTTTATATATGATTTACTTTTTCTTCCCTTGATGCTTTTAGGGTTATATAAAGCTATATACAGTATTGAGATATTTATACTGTGCTTTATATATGTACAGTACTGTACTTATTTTTGTAGGCCTTATATAAACACAATAACTATAAACCCACTCCATGTAAGAAGGATAACTCCTAGTAAAAAAATGCAAATATCAAATGCCTCATAAAATATTGCAAAAGCTCACAGAAAATCTAGCTCCTATTACCAGGAGCATCATACGTTGAAGTGAATAAATGGCTTAAGTACGTCAAAGGATGCCTGTACTGGTATACAGTGCTACCTGCAATTTCAAGGCTAATATTGGCGACTAACCCACCGACGCGCTATTTGTTTTGATGTTTTATTTTCTTACTCTATATCTTCATCGGTGAGATCTGATAAAATAATAATTTTGGGGGAAATTGCTTCCTTTGATAGATAATTAGGCAAATAGGCGTGCACTACTTTGTCTGGCGGACACTACAGGTACTTTGTCTTTCTTGGCGGTGATGCGGCAGTACACAGCCAATCATCTCTGATCGATGCCAGTCGCCAGTGTATGTTTATGAGCCACTTGAACCAGGCGGATGCTCACATGTCCACAAAAAAAAAGTTAAATTACACAATATCATTGTAAGTTCTTTCTGTTTCATATGCCAGGGGGTCCGGAGGGTGGAGCCTCATGGCTAAGAATTTAGGTGAGGTCTGGTAGGTTTCTTCGTTAAAGTTGGTGAGATCTTCTAACAACGCTTCTGCCGCTTGTTTTTCTTATCAACTAAGGTTAGGTTAAGTTTATTTTAGAAATAACCACTTTTTAACATATATGCCAAAACTATGTCAGTGTAGGGAGAGAACTTCAACTTGGCATGGTGTGACAAAACATAAGGAATACAGTATGTGTGGTTGGGGATGATGTGAGTTGGATGATCAGTATATTGCATAAAATTCTAAAAATGAATTCATCAAAGAGGGCCCTTTTTAAGAAGGATTGAGATGCACTTCCCAATATGTGAAAACGGTACAGTAAAGTATTAGCATGTGAGGGAGGATATGAGATTCTCTAAATAGTACCAGCTGAAAGGAAGATTGCAACAAGTGTTCAAAAGACTTTTGCTGACTGACTTATGGCATTATATAGGGTGTCTCTTAAGTATGTGCAGTAAATTGCAGGGTGTATTCTTGGGTCAACTATAAAGGTGGTGGCACTCTGGGCACTTTTCCTCCCAACATGTTTGGCAAACACTGTCTGGCCAGCAAAACAAAGAGATATTTGCATCACACTGGGATGTTTTGTTGGCACATCTGCCCAATGCAATGAAAACAACAACAAAGCATCTAGACAAGGTTCGCTATAGACCCCGTTAATACAGCTGAGGCCTTGCAGGATTGTGCTATAGTTCTTCAATTGCTAAAGCAAGTGGCATCTTCAAAAGCTAAAGAAAAGACAATGGGTGCATTGTGAAGTTTCCTTAAAAGTGGTGGTGGCTGCCTGGTCAAAGAAGACCCTGAATAATGATTTAATAAAACTAAAGAAATTTTAAAGTGAGGAATAAATAGAAACATGTCACTATTTTATGTGATATATTTTAGGTTATTATTGTTTCATGATTTTTTCAATTTTTACTTGAATATTTAAAACCTAATATGATGCTCATTTGTGCACTAAACCGGCCAGCAAAGCCCACCGCCAAACTGTTGTCCATTTCTTGCAACAGCAGAAATACTGCTGCTTGCTGGGCTGTCAGGCCAGCAGCCAGCAAAATGGGCAACCTGTTTGGAGGAAAGTGCCCAATGTGCGGCCACCTTAAGGCACAGTGTCAACATGACAAAATGTCAGAATCTGTTGTGTTATTACAGTACTGTACTGGGTTAATATTCCTCCATTGGATGTCCGCAGGTTTCCTTCATGTTTACCTGAGGTTATACTCCTCACTTAGAGTCAGTTGTCTCCTCCTTGTAGATTAGTTGGTACCTTTGGTATGAGAATAGGTTTTTTGTGTGTATTTTTTGGTGTGTTTTACTCAAATTTGACCTCCTTCTTTGTGCAAATTAGCAGTTTCTGCCAAAAGTGAATTTTTTTTTGCAAAACCGCTAATTTGCAAAAGAAATAAATGTCAGATTTGAGTATAAAAAAAAAATCTTGTTCCAAAACCTGAGGACAGCCAATGGACAAATATTTATCCAGTACTGCAGTAAATGTTCAAAATTCCTTCCCTCTGCTACTGTATCACATTGTGCTAAGTTATGTGCATAAAATTACACAAAAATATAATGCTGTTTCACTCCAACTTAACTATCATTACTTCAACCTCTTTCAGTCCTGTAACCAGGTAACTATGCAGATTCTGATATTTTGTCATATACATTAAGTCCCGCTTAACGTCGGGGTTACGTTCCTGAAAACACGACGTTAAGCGAAACAATGTTAAGGTGATCAATTTTCCCCATAAGAAATATATAAAATACGGGAGATACGTTCCTGAGCCTCTGTGGCTGCCTCCTCCTCCTCCTTCTCTGACTGGCATTCCTCCTCCGTTGTTGTTCGCTCCTCCTCGGCTGCCAGCTGTTGTGAAGAAGCTCCTGACGTCCCGCAATGAAAAAATGAATCAAGTGTTGACTGCTTGGTGCTACTCATCTTCTCCTTATAGCAACCAAGACTTCCTCAATGCTGCGTTGAACCTTTGAGCTACGTTCTCTGTTTGGGTCGTCATCTAGAAGCATTTACATTGCTTACTGGAACATGTTCAATGATTCTGCCATCCTCTTTGAAGTTAGCGTTCGTTGAGGTTCTTCTTCGTCGTCGTCTTCAACGGGACTGTGTTCTGTTAATTGTTGCAGATCTTTGTTGGTGAGCTCTTCTGTATGGGATGCCAGGAAGGTCCTCAATATCCTCTGATTCCAGCTCGTCAAAGCCTGCCTGTCTAGCCAAGCTGAGGATATCCCTATTCACAGCTGGGACTAAGTCCGTGAATCCCATAAAACTGTTGACACACTCGGGTCACAGTTTACATCACACACCTTTCAGGCAACTTTCTGAAACTTCTTCCCATGCCTTGACAATGTTGTCAATTGCATGAAGAATGTTGAAGCCTCGCCAATATTCTCGGATCGCTGGTTTATTTTCTCCGTCTGTAGCCTTGAGCAGCTAGGCCATGGTACGGCGTAAATAATACACCTTGAATGCGGCGATGAAGCCTTGGTCCATAGGCTGCATCAGTGCTGTCGTGTTGGGAGGCAGGAGTAAAACTTTTACACTGTCACGCAAGTCGTCGAGATTGGGAGGAGGAGCTGGAGCATTGTCAAGGATCAAAAGAATTTTGAAGTAAAGGTTCTCCTTGGCACAGTATTCCTTCAGTGCAGGGACGGCATACACTTTTAACCACTGGCTAAATATGGCGTCAGTTATCCATGCCTTTTTGTTTGCCTTGTAAATGACAGGAAGGTGATCCTTAGAGTAATCTTTCAGGGCCCGTGGGTTGGCAGCATAGGGTTCAGCTTGAAGTCACCAGCAGCATTCGTGCCAAGCAGCAGCATCAAGTGGTCATTTGCTGCTTTAAACCCTGGCGCCCTTTTCTCCTCCTTGGAGATATAGGTCCTCTCAGGCATCCTCTTCCAAAGAGACCAGTCTTACTCACATTGAAGACTTGCTTTGGTGAGTAGCCTCCTTCCTGGATAATCTGTTTGAATTCTGGAGGGAATGTCTCGGCAGCAACCGTATCTGAACTGGCAGCTTCACCAGTTATTATGTTGTGGAAGTTATAACGATGCTTAAATCGTTGAAACCATCCTCGTCTGGCGTAAAGGTCTCTTCCTTCGATCCTTCACCCTCTTCTGCCTTTAAGTCGTCAAACAAGGATCTGGCTTTATGCTGGATAACCATAAGGCTCACAGGGGCATTGCGTTGATTCTGGTCATCTATCCACATTGCCAGCATCTTTTCCACCTTCCCTATCACAGTGCTTTTAGTACGAGTCGTCTTAGTAGCACTCAGAGAAGAACCACTTCCAGCACTAACC